CTGTGGATGATGCAACACGTAATATGATTGGGCACAAGCAGATCTGGATGTGTATATATGTGTGAAATGAACAGATGATGTATCTTCCTGCTTGGTGATGATTGCTACCTGTTATGCTGGCAGACTGAACTGCTCTAAATACCTTGTAAATACACGTTGGTGGAGGAGAAGCTGCTGGTGTGTGTGTGAGTTATTCTCGACTACCTGGACTGCTTAAATACTCTGCTAAACCTGCTATTATTCCGCATTTTTGTGCTAACACGTTGACTAACCAAGAAGGGGATCAAATTATCAAGAAGGGGATCAAAATGAAGTAGTCTAAATCTTAATTGACAGATTTTTATGAAAGAGTGGGAAAAGATGCTGAAGAGAGGGTTCAAAGAAGTGACTACAGGCCGAGAATACAGAAAAACATGGAAGTTCCTTCCTAGAATTGGTGAACATTATTTTGTATCAGAATGTACTAACACTGAGAAAACTGAAAGCAAAATGATCATTTTTTTGCCTACCAAGCTTACTATGCTTGCCAATGGTGTTACATTTCATCCTATTAGCATCCTTGAGGGAGAAGTGCAAAGCACACGCTCCAGATGTTGTTGAACAACAACTCTTACCATCGGCTGTACTAGCTAGAGCTGGTGAGTGTTCAACAACATCTGGAGGGCTGAACTTTACCCACTCCTGATGACAAGCCTCAGACACAAGTGCAATGGATGCTACAAACAACTAATTGCAGATCTATTACAACATAGGCCAGTCTTGCAATTTTGCCTGCCTCTGGAGATGTGTAATTAAAGAGAAAGCCCACTAAGGCTTTAGGGCAAGGTCACATACAGTGGGGTCTCGACTTACGAACTTAATTTGTATTGGAAGGCAGTTCTCAGGTCGAAAAGTGCGTAAGTCAAATCTGCATTTCCCATAGGAACGCACTGAAAACCATTTAATCCCTATCTGCTCTTTTCGTCCATAGAAACTAATGGGAAGCTGCTATTCTGCCTTCTGCCACTAGAGGGGGATATTTTTTCCTTTTTTCCTTTTAACCTAAGATGACTTAGCTTTTAAAAAAAGGAAAGAAAAGAGTTCATAACTCAAATCTAAGTTCGCATGTTGAGTCCATATATTCCTATGAGAGCAGTTCGTAAGTCGAAACGTTCGTATGTCGAGCCGTTCGTAAGTCGAGACCCCACTGTATATACTCTAATGCAGATAGGGCCGTACATGGCACTGGGATGATTGCTTACATCATTCCATCATACTGAGACATAATGCTGTATGATGGAATGTATGCTGCTGCCCAACACCATCTGGAGAGCCAAACATTCTCCATCTTATTGTAATGCATTCTAGAAGGCCACCACTTCACTTTTACTACAATTCCCTGACGGTGGTGGGTGAGGTCACTTCTACAGTCTCACAGTATTTTCCCATCTATAACTTTAAAACACTTAAGGAGTCTGTCCATCAGAAGCCAACTAATATGAAAAAACTATCCAACAGATATTAAAAACAGATTCCTGGAACTAATCAACTTTTTGAAACAGCACATTCAAAAGCAATCACCTTTCCTATCCCAGTAGAAGCATCTTCTGTAATACCTCTTCTGGAAGACATTAGAAACATATACGTAGTTCTTATTTAAATAGCAAATCAGTGTCTGAGCTATACCATTTCAAGTTCTACGAGGGGACACACTGACTGTACTACCATTCAGAAGAATTCCCTACATACAATTTCCTCTAACATTTTCCTTTTGTGTGGAACAGCATCCAGTCATATAGGTCTCTTGAAGTGCCACAACTCAGACCACGTTTACCTCTTCAGTAAGAAGTATGCCTCAGCTGTTGTTTAATTGCGAATGACATTGATGTTACTGACTGAAAAGAAAATGCAACATCATGCACAAGACTTCCCACTAAGATATTATTGCCTGTCTTGCTCTGCTACTCATTTTATCTTTCCTTCCAGAACCATTTTGAAGATCTGTCTTTTTTTATTTTAAAAAAACTACACAAGAGATCAAACGAGCTATTCTTGAAATATTTAAGGAGGTTGTCTCTTATTTTGCTAATATGTTCAAGTTATATCATTTAGTTGTTGAGCACCATGAAAAGGATAATTGGCCTATTTTCCAGCTGCTCCTTTCTCACCCTGGCTCTACGGTTGTGCCTTTAACACCAGCCTAACACCGCTGGTCAACATTTTTCTCTTGCAGAAATAAAAGGGAAAGACTACCACCACTGCCTGGGATGGGAGTGGCCAGATGGGTCTCCTCCACCACAGGCTCCATAGACCCCAGGCTGTCATTGCTGCTGGAACCTTTTTTTTTTATTATGGCAGGGGAATGAGATACAATGCTGTAACCTCATGCCATGCAGTCCAAAGGGGAGCTTAGTTGCTCCTGTTGCTCCAGTCATAAGTTTGGCCCTAGTTCCTTTCACTGCCCCCCCCCCCGCTTCTCCATTAAGGCTTTATTTGCAGCATATAAATTAAATAAATAAATGTGTAGCCTTTATAATTAAAATTGTAAACCGCCCGGAGAGTGCTTGTAGCGCTATGGGGCGGTATATAAATCCAATAAATAAATATAAATAAATAAATAATCGGTCATGTCTTGTTCATCTGAGGTTGCATTTACCTAATTTTCGGACCGGCCAAGGACCAGATGATTTTTATTATGTCCAGATATATAAAACCATAGAATTCAAAGGGTGTACTTTCTTTTTTATGACTGTATGCATGTCTCTTTCTGTGTTGTGCGAACACACATATAGGCACCCTCCATATATTTTTAAGACTCAAACTGCAGAATTATTTTGCACAGATCAGTTCAACACGGAAAAGGGTATGTTTATAGTGAATGAAATAAAGGTAGGAAAAATGTAACATTTACAATAGCTCTTGGAGTGAGAACTGCTAGATAGCTCGGTGCTTTAGCATCCAGCTGTGGAGCCAGTAGTTGGGAGTTTCATTCCACACTGTGCCTCCTTGACAGGGACTGGACTCAATGACCTATTTGATTGGGCAGAGGAGATACAGATGGTAGAGGCAGGCCAGATTTGGCACTAATTTTTTTCTAATTTAAAATTTGCAACCATAAGCTTTGACATTTTAAGGATCATCTAAGGACTTTTGTAAGGATGCAATTCTATGATCCCCCAGGGATACAGGGGTCCCACTGAAAATATTTTAAACGAAATAAATAAATCATAGTGGCAAAATTGCCACTAATTATTGAGTTCTACTTGGTTTCCTTACTGAGCACCAGTCAGATGGATTGATGCACAAACAAAAATACAAGCGAGAACTCACTATTTAATGATAATATGCCACTGCACGTTTTACCACTGGCTCCTGATGGATGGTGTTCTGGACCTGGAGACCACCATATCACAGGCAGGTGCTGGGATCAGCTTGCCCACCCAGGAGTAGGAGGTAGTTGTAGGGAATGATAAGGACTCACACCTGGCCTAGTAAGAGGGAACTGGGCTATGTGAAGGCTATAAAGTTAAAGGTGGAGGAGATAGGAAGAGGAGGAGAGCAGGAACCAGGAGGGATGAAAACAAAGGGATCAGGAGAAGAGATGTATTGGGTTGACTTGGAGGAAGTGCTGGTGACCACCTATTTGGTTGAGGTTCTAGCAGAGCTATGGGTATCTAAAGGGACAGCAAAAGCCCAGGCTACCTCAAGACCCAAAAGACCAAGCTACACAAACCATGGTTAACAAGGTCCTACACAGCCTCCACCTCCCATCCAGACTCCCATGCAGAAACAACACTGGAGGACAGTGCCAATGGGAATACTGGAGCATCTGCAAGAGAGATTGACTCAGCGCCCAGGCAAGGACATGGTACAAGCCCTCCCTGAAAGACACTAGGGGACACAGATTTAGGAAAGGACTTTTTACTGCCCTGTATTTTTTATTCCCTCTGTCCCCAGTGAAGTCAACTGGAGATCCCAAGAAGACTCAGTTCACTGTCATTGACTGCCAATGACATGACTTGGAAGGTGGGGGTTGCCAGTGAGGGAATCAGGCCGGTAAATCCTATATCCCTCTCAATAACATTGGAGGTGCCTCAGCCTTCTTGTCTGGAGCCCATGGATATCCATACAGAGGAGTGGCCACTCTCCGCCTGACTCTTGGAGTGGGTGGCAGTGTTCACAACTAGATATGGAAGGATGTAGAAGATTGAACAGCTGTGCCCTGTATGGAAACTCCTCCACTATCTTGTCAAGGCACACAGACTCCTCCTGTCTGGCACAAAAAATCTGCATGCGCACATAGACACACACTTTGGATTTTGCTTCTTCCTCAGCTTCTGTAATATATGATGTCCTAGTAGACCTAGGGATGTCCACTACAAGAAAAATTAACAAAAAAATTAAGAAAAGCAATTGGAACATCACAAAAAGGCAATTAAAATTTTCTTGATATGTTTATTAATTGCAAAAATGACAAAATACAACAAGCATCTTTGGCACTATATGGAATTCTATGAAAAAACACCTGAAGACTATGGTAATTAAAGATAGATGATTTTTTTTTAAAAAAAATCCTAACTTGAATATCCAATGATTAATTTAAAAAGTAACAAAATCCACTGCTATTGACTGCAAGTTCTATTCTATTTGTATGTTCTGTTTTAAGAAAAAAAAATCCCTAACAAAACAGAACAAAAAAATCCTGAGCAGGCTGAAATGCTGTTCATACACCTGCGGAAAGCTGATGCTTTGGAAAGCTGTGGGATCCATGGAACAGAAGGGGAAATCTTTGTTTAAAATCATCAGCACAAGACCAATTGTTCCTGGCGATGAAAGGGATTACTGCGGTGCCTCGCAAGATGATTTTAATTCATTCCGCGAAAATCGTCGTCTTGTGAAAAATCGTCTTGCGAGGCTCCCTATGCATCAGTCTAAAAAATAAAACTGTCTTGTGAAGCATCGGTCTAAAAAAACCAAAAGTCTTGCAAAGCACGGTCATAGAAAAAAAGTCTTGTGAGGCACCATAGTGATCGTCTTGCGGGTTTTTCATCTCACGAGGCAATCGTCTAGCGAGGCACCACTGTATACAGGAGTCATGGGAGCCTCAGAACACAAGTAGGAAAGTTCAGCTTCTTAAAAAATCTCCCCAGCAGATGACTTCACAAACCTTGCAGAGGAATAAGCCTTGTAAAAATCTACATACAAGCATCAGTTACACAAAATAAGGTGCAATCATTTCATCTTAGGTTTTCCATCCTAGTAATCTTCACATATTTCAAACGTCAAATCTCATCAGTCCTAGGCAGAGTGGAATACTGAAAGAAACAGTCCAATTCCCCAAGAGGGCAGTGCACTGGGAAAGGCCAACCCTCAGAGAATAGATTTGTGTTGTACTCTTCACTATTCTTAATCACTTCTACTGACAGAATTTACCAATTGCTTTAGTCTTCTCATCTAATTGTGCTGGCACTGAAGAAATGCCCATTGAACATTAGAAGAGTCAAAAGCCAGTCATGAAAGTATGATCTAATTTGACCTTGTGTCACAGACGTCTTCATACCTTACACAACTGGTTTGGTTTTTTGAAATGTAACAACTATACTACTGATGTGTTTTTCTTTCCACTCTCCTTCCATTTGCTTGATGACAGCAATTCAGAGAAGGTAAGCAAGAAGGAAACATGGATCATGCAAATAAACCGGTGATTCATGGAAAGGATTAGTGTTATCACAAGCTATGCTTCAGAGGTGTCTTCTAACAATGGAATGGGAGCTGCCAAAGTCTAAACCATATTAGTGAAAAGAGAACAGCAATGGGCTAGTTTAATAGAGTCAATCCTCCTGTGATGTATGAACCATCGTCTCTTCTAAAACAGAGTTTATTGTTTGACCTTGGGCATTTGTGTGGGAATATGTGGTCTGTGCCACTAATATTTCTGAAACCATGTGGCTTTGGTTCCCCTGTTCATTACTGGTAGTCTGAGGAATGGAATTTCCAATATCAACAGGAGCAAACTTCTGTGATTCCATTTGCCTTTTAGCTTCTAAATCCTGCTGTTGCAACATCTGCTCCACCTCTATCTCAAGTTCCAGATTCTCTTCATCTGCCTCTACTTCCAGCTGTTGCATTAACTCCTCCAGTTTTTGTGCCTTTCGAAGCTCATTTTGTTGTATGATTGTGCACAAATGCTCTGTGAGCTGTTCTTTGACTTCAGTTTTCTTTTGAAAATCCAGTTTTGCAGCCACATACTCAGTTTCTGCCTTGTCATATCTCTTCCTACAAGAGGAACAGCCTTAAGTCATTGGTAACATTACTGTACGTATTCTACAAACATGAGCAGATACATAATTTCAGTCTGCACAACAAAACAGTAGAGCAGATTAAAGAAAAGTGGGTAGAGCAGCACATATCAAATTGAATGCTTAGCCAACAGAATCAGATGAAAATCACTGTTGAAATAAATGAGAAATTAAACTCAAAATTAAGAGCATAACAAATGGTATCAGGAACAAAATGTTGCAGTGTATCATCAACATCACATTTTTCAGAGAGTGATTTTCTCCATTTTTGCCATAAAGAGTTCTACTCTTCATGGCAAACATGACAAGCAACCAGTTTTCCCTTACAACTTTTAAATTACAGAGGCAGGTGGGGATTCTCTTGACACTTGGCAGTTTGTGCCCATCCCCACTTCCGGCTTAGTTTTTGGAGAGACAAAAGAATTCTACCTTAAGAATCTTTTTGAACAGTGAGGTAAACATTTCCATGATTAATTAATCAATTAAATTTGAAAATAGTTATTTTTCAACCACAAGAACAACTCTCTCAACATAATGGCTGAAATAACACTGAAACTATCAAATAATTGAAAGAAGACCTATGTAACCAATAATTTGGGTTAAAATGCAAATAAATTAAAAATGTGATTAACAATACAGAAAATTTAGTACTTTCTCTTTTGCTTTTGCCTGTAGTACTGATGCATTATGTCATTTGTATTCTCAAAGGCTATTACAGCCAGGATCCAATGGATGTTGTAGGTGCTTTGGGCTGTTTGGCCGTGTTCTGAAGGTTTTTCTTCCTAATGTTTTGCTAGTCTCTTCAGAGGACAGGAGTTAGAACTCTGTCTGTGTTCTGGTGTAGTTTGTGAGATAGTTGAGTATTTGTAGCTGTGGGATCAGCTTTTCGTCCTTTTCAGGAGATTGGGTAATTATGGTGATCAGAGTGTTTTTCATATAGGTGTATTGTTGTGATAAGGTAGAAGATGATATGTCACCGTGATTGATGGGTGTTGTTAGCTAGTCTTTTGTGTACAGTAATCACCGATCCTTGTGGCTGGCCAGTTTGTTGACCTTTTGCAGGCTGTGTTTTTCAGTGCAGGAAGCCAGGCTTTGTTGAGTTTTAGACTTTCTTCCTTTTTGTTGAAGCTCTGCTGGTGTTTCTGGATTTCAGTGGCTTCCCTATGTAGCCTAACATAACGATTGCTGGTGTTGTCCAGTACTTCTGTGTTTTGAAATAGAATTTCAGGTCCAGCTTGTTTCAGGGCACATTCAGCTACTGTCAATTTTTCCAGTTCCTTTAGTCTGCAGTGTCTCTCATATTCTTTGATTCTGGTGTGGCTGCTGCGTTTTGTGGTCACAATATATACCTGGCCACAACTGCAAAGTATCCAGTATGCTCCTGCAGTAGTGAGGGGGTCCCTTTTGACCTTTGATGACCGTATCATTTGTTGTATTTTTGTGGTGGCCCTGAATATTGTTTGTAGATTGTGTTTTTTCAAAAATTTCCCTATATGGTCCTGTGCCCCCTTTGATGTATGGCAGAAATACACCAGAACACAGACAGAGTTCTAACTGCTGTCCTCTGAAGATGCTGGCCAGAGACTGGCAAAACGTTAGGAAGAAAAATCTTCAGAACATGGCCAAACAGCCCTAAAAAACAACAAGCAACATTTTGTCATTTTTTAAATGGCTTATGCCCAATAAAATATGCCAAGAAGAATAAAATATTTAATAGTAGTGACAGAAAAGCCTTGAATAGTTACTCCCCTTTACCAGGACATAAACCCAGTCATGATGATAGTAGATATTGGTAAGATGAGAATTCCACAATACAGTGGACCCTCGACTTACAGACGGCTCGACTTACAGACTTTTCGAGTTACAGACTTCTCTGGCCACAAAATTTAGATTCGACTTGCAGCCGGAGAATCGACTTACAGACCAGAAAAAAACCAAAATGGAACAAAAATAGAATAAAAACCGCTGGTTATGGGATTAATCGGTTTTCAATGCATTGTAGGTCAATGGAGATTCGACCTACAGACTTTTCGACTTGCAGCCACTGTTCCAATACGGATTAATTCCATAAGTAGAGAGTCCACTGTATAATTTTAGACAATTAAAAGTACATTTCATTTTAAAAAGCAGAACATTGTAGTGCTACAATTTCTTGAACAATTTGATTTTTAAAAAGGGCTAACAGAAAGGCAGTGCATCATATAAGCAATTCACATTCTTCTATGCCAATTTCTTACCGAGCATATGAATAATCCAAGCTTGCCTGGTCAATCTTATTTCTCAGGATTCTAATATCAGCAGATACCATGTCATCTAGAGCTTGAAGCTGGTTTTGGATACGCTTTAACTTCACTGTTTCAGCCTGAGTTCTTTTAGATCTGGTGAAGAAATGAACATCTTTTATTTATTTTTTGCTGTTAAAAATAATCCAGTGGCCAGTATCCTGTTGTGGAACTCTACTTGTACAAAGGAAGCGATATCATGGCTGGCAAATTGATACTAATTAAAGAGCTCTTTTTTCCATTACAAAGTGTGCGGTGACATCACATCCATTGTGCAGACCCACACAACAGGATAGAGGACTATATTTCAGCAGGGCACAGGGTTGCTTCTTATAACTGGTGAAAAATGGATAGGAAGTTTTAGAACTGTTTTCCTCTATTGTATATATATAAACACAGTTCAGCCAAGATGTCTGTGCTTCCTCCCCACTTCATCAGTGAACACTGAGTCTAGTCCTAAGTTATGAAGAAACATTTGAAGACATATCAATTGTTTTTAGAACAGACTAGTTTACAAGTTTTATATCCTTGGTACAGCTATTTCTATCTGTACCTAATTTCTTTACCACCTAGTATAGCTATATTAGCTAACTGACTGGAGACGTTCAGGTATCTGGTTGCACAGATGTTGGGAGTTTGATTCCCCAGTGTGCATTCTGCGAGTAGAGCCAGACCCAGTCTCAGGGCATCCCCAGAAGAAGGGAATGGTAAATCACTTCTGAGTATTTTCTACTTGGAAAACCCAAAATTTTGCCAGAAGTCAGAACTGACTTGATGGCACATTATTGTAACTATATAAAAATACAGGAAGAAAGTACTGATCACTTGTTCAATGTTCAACTCTTACAAACGTTTGCTTTCCTCAAAAATAACAATTTCTTCCTTCAGTACAGTTTCAAACATTCGCATTGAAGTGCATCCCTTGATTTTCAACACAATTCAGGCAAATACTTAGGATTGCAGTCTTTGTTAGAAAGAAAAGTGGGCAGTTTTTTTTTTTAAATCAAGCTGGCATCTTCCAAGATGTAACCATTAGAATAGTAACTTCACGCTCCAAAGGGAAAAGACTGTGCAACACACCACACGTACCTTTCAGCAATTGCTTTAGTCAGGAGGGCTTTCTTGCGTTTGTTCTTTTCTTCCATAAGCTTCTGTTCCTCCTGAAGGATCTGCCACCGTGACCTCTCCTGCCTGAACATTGATAAAGTAACAGAATTAGTGGGGAAATATCTTCCCTTTCCATCCTTCCCTGAACTAACCTTCAGTACAATTAATTTCTATAATGTGTCTTTCAATTGCTTCTGAAACACTGGAATAATTCCAGTTGCTTGCTATAATAGCAGGCCTGTGTTTGGAATACAAATGTATGCACTCCAATATATTATACAGTATGTTACTAGTTTTTCAGTTTCTCTAGAAAGGATTCAGAAGCTACTTCATATTCTAACTTGCTAACATTAGACAGGACATCCAAGGGTTTGTTTCAAATGAAGGGCAGAGAGTATTTTCATTTTTGAAATCCAAATATCAAAGTTAGATCTCAAGGTGTGCATACACTGCATTTTTAGTAGATATTATTCAATAAGCTGGTCTCTTCCTCATTCATTTAGCATAATTTCTCTCCTAAAATGATTTTTTGTGATGAGTTTTCAAACTGTGGGCAGATTTTACAGCAAACAATATACTTGTCCATAATACATACTGTATTTGTTGGATATATATATTCATGGTAAAATGCTATTTAGTTTTACATTCCCCATTATGTTAAAATACAGAAACAATACAGTTCCTATAAACACACTGCTAGCAACTGTGACTGGTATCTGGAATTCCAATATTCTCAGTAATTCAGATCTCAACAAGCCTCAATGTATGATCAGCAGCTGTCAGGTAGAGCTTTCTATTTAGATCTCTGAACACAATACAAAAAGTCACTAGTGGGGAGCTGCAAGCTTAGCCCAGGAGCACAGCATTAGGGACAAAGCCAGGAACCTGCCCTGACTATATGCATATAATGCAGGCCCAAGGCTTTAATCTTTAATTGCATATAAAGTTTAACAGTAAATTCATGTTTATCATTATTATGCCAACAGGCAGGAAAATAAGAACCAGATTATGCTAATTTATCTAGTTACTTTGCTAGTTAAAGAGTTCAGATACCTGCAGACTACGTGATCAGCCAGTTCTAGAATATAGCATAGAGATCAGAAAGGTAGGTATTCAACTCTGCACTGATTTGAGAACACATCCTTGATATCTTGATCCCTGACACAATTTCTGTAGCTTAAATAAAGCATAGGCCTATAGGTCAAAAGAGAACACATTATTTACATATAATGCTCTAGGTTCAATCTCTGTCCTGGAATGAACCCTCTAAAAATATTTACAAAAGGGCAATCAGTTACTGTAAATAATTCTGACTTAGACGGTCCACTAGTCTGATTTGTTATAAGGCCCCTTACCATATTTGCTATCCTTTGTACTGGTAGTTTCCAAATTGTATTTAGGGAAACCTCAGGTGAACAGGGTTGAAAAGACTGTTTGCTAACCATTACCAATCTACAGATACACGAAAATTCTTGGTGTGCAACCATTTTAACAGATTTTCCAAAAAGCACTGGAATGGGCTGGGCCTCCACATCAGATAACCCAACATGAACAGTGGTTAAACCACTGTACTGCAGCCAAAACTGTGCTCACAACCTGGGGTTCAATCCCAGGTAGCCGGCTCAAGGTTGACTCAGCCTTCTATCCTTCCGAGGTCGGTAAAATGAGTACCCAGCTCTCGGGGGGGGGGGGCAATGTGTAGCCTACATAATTAATTTGTAAACCGCCCAGAGAGTGCTTGAAGGACTATGGGTTGGTATATAAGCAGCATGCTTTGATTTTGCTTTATTCTTTTAACATAAAGTTTTTAAAACTATTTTGAACCATAATACTAATCATATGGAGGTATTTCTGCAACAATCTCCTTGCAATTAAGGACACTGAGCCATTGTTTTGCTTGCATTCAAAGATATTCAAATGGTTGCATGTTTGAACAAGAAAGCTGAAGAACTGATCAGATATAGTTCTACAAGCAAAACACACCAAAGTAGAGAAAATGCAAAAACAGTTCTCAATATTATCCTAACATCATTACAAAATCTGGTGCATAGCCAGTTTTGTACATGTACAAATATGCAACTGATTTATTAGCAATAATAAAATTCTTGCAGTATTATTATAGACTTACTAACAGTTCCATTTTCTTTTCCCCCAATTTATGACATGACTCTGCAGGGGATTCACCATTACAAGGTTTTTTGAGTTGTGCTACTTCAAGTCCAGATTGAACCTGTTGATTGCTGGTATTTTGTTGTTCTCCTGTTGACAGAGATGGTGATACAGATGTTTGTGGAGATGAGCAATTCAGCTTGGGCCCTGAAAGCCTTTGCTCTGAAGGTGGCAAGGTCGATGATCCATCCAGCAATTCCATTTTCTTACGTATCGGCTTGACTGCTTTTTTACACTGCAGATGCTGGCGATTTCTATTTACAGAAGGCAGCCGATGCTGTTCAGGAGGATGCTCACATGGATCTAAAGAGCATAAATAAACAAAAGTTAGGTTATTGCATGTGTGGAACAGTTACTTGCTCCAAATACTTAGTATGGGAAAAACACAAAACGTAAAGCCATTTTGGCACACTAGCACTGAATGTTTAATGTTTGTAGGGGGAATGGAACATATGTTAATATTGTGCTATTCTAAAATTAGCAAAGATTTTTTAAATTAGTAAAAACAAATGAAGGACATAATCTGTTAGAAAATTATGTTAATTAAATTAACGGGAGTACATGTGTTGAATCTGTATATTTATTTTTTACGACACCAAAACCAGTGTGGTGTACTAAAGTGTTGAAATGCAACTCAGAAGATTTGGGTTCAAGTCCCATTCAGCAATGAAACTCATTAGTGCTTGTTCTCGGGAAAGGCAAATGTTATAAGTCATGTCTGAAAAGGTCTGTAGTTGTCTGTGCTCTTAACTTTTAAAATTGGTCTTAAAAGGTTCCAAAATAGTGATAAAATCTTTCCTGAAGGATGGTGGAAGAAAAAACTGATTCATTCAAATTCATTCTCCAGCAATTAGATTCAGTGTGCCATCACAAACAGAAAACTGCATGAAGCTGAATGATGACTGCTAATTAGCAGAACTTGCAGCAGTTTGACTTCATTAATATCACTGAAAGTATTGCTATTGGCTTCTTTTAAAAAGAGTTCTGTTTAAATAAAAACTAGACCACCTTAACTCACATCCAGGCACACAGAATCTTTCAGAACTCCAGAGTCATTTTTTTTGCAGAATTCATGAAGAGTTAGAGCTACAATATAAGCATTTTACAAAAGTCTCACTTCAAAACGTGCTTTAAAACATCTGTTTTTTAGCCACTTGCCATGTTAATGGTTTCTTTTTGCAACCACAAAACAGTTGGGAGAAAAATTGTCCAAATACACCTATTCTATTTTGTGACTGAGGTGCTTCAATAACCTAGCCAAGATAATGTATTGAGACATTTCAGTAAGCCATGATGCCGAGAAGCAGCAAACGTTGGCTGTCCGTGGGTTGACGTCATTTAGGGGGACATTGGAACTCTCAGTGAATTCAGAAAATAGGAGGTACATAAATGTAACTCAGACCCTAACACCTCTGCTGTATTGGAATTCGCACATGGCCAGAGAATGTCACCTAGCATAAGTTGTTTTTTTACCTGCTAAGATAAGGATTAAATGGTGTTCAGTGAGCTCAGAGAAATCCTGTTTTTTTAATATTTTCAAAGTACTAGACTGATTTGCTCTTATATTTCTTAACACTGTTTAAAGACCTAAACTGTTGTGTTATAAATGTGTGTGTATGTTTCTTTTCTCTGGTATACACTTTGTCTTCTCCACTTGAAAGAAAAAAAAATGGAGAGCCAAATTTGTTGAGGAACCAACAGTACACCTGAGCCCTCCAGAGTTTCAAGAAACAGGGATACTGGAAGAAATAGTTTATTGGAGGGGGAGCAGTTGCTAGAGCTGACATTATTCAGCTTTTAAAGCCAATAAATATTTATACGCTTTTTCCACTGAAAACCAAAGAAGCTATCAAGTAAGCAAAGTTATAAAATATACATGAATAATTTTGAAATAAGTCTGCATGTTTTCTGTATGAGCTAATGAAGAAAATACTTCAGATAGGTAGATGGCTATATGTAAGTTTTACTAGCTTCTGGTTAATGTTAAGTTATAAAACAGAAAATATAAATTCATAGCACTACAGTGATCTTTCATTCTGTTAACTTTGGTTTTGCTTGTAGGAAACAGCAAAAAAAGTAGAAAATATACATTTACTTCCCTAGGAAATCTGAAACTTGCTGGTTACTACAGCTGCAAATTTCCATAAGCGGTATATTAAAGTGACAGTCTAAAACCTCCTTTTGCTTTTCCGGTAACAGGATCTCTGGTTTGAGATAATCATACTAAAGGACAAAAATTGATAGGAACATGTACTAGATCAGTCAGACATTTCTGCTGTTACCGTATCTTGGTACAATGTAAAGGGGCCTTTCTTAGAGGCTGTGTCAACTTTGCAGTTATGTGGAGTGACACAAGTATTTCTGAATAAGGATAAAGTCTATCTTAAGAATGGGTGAGTTTAAAGTCAGTTATTTAAGTTTTATATTCCTAGTACTTTCTGTAGAAGTATCTTGAGTTCACTGATTCATTATTTATTGACCCTTTTTTTTGTCTTGGAGTTGTTTTTTCTCTGTAAGTCATACAGCTCTTGACTGAAATACTGTTATTAATGTAGAAAGTAACAACTAGAATAAGCCCATTGAGTCAGTGGAACTTACAGAAGAGATGATTCACCAAATCCTCATTGATTCAGCAGGCCTATGCTGACTTATTACACTAAGCAACAGGATTTCAGTTTCTATGTAAATTATGTAAGGACATATATTGCAGCATTGTTCTTTACAGGTTAGTTACCCACCAGTACCAATTAATAAATTAGTTTATGGTAATAAAACATTACTAAAGGCAATGCTATATTGAGCTCAGTGTGCTGTGTTTTCTATTTGTATCTGCATTATCTACCATAATTTTAAAGTAGAAGGCAAAGAGATATGCATATATTTGCCTATGGTGACTAGAACTACTATTTCTGTGGGGTTCAGGAGACACCTAGACCTGAGACAATGGCAATTGATTGGTTCCTATGCATTATTTGTTTTATTCAGGCATTCTGTAAGAGTCTGTGGTCCACATGAAATAAGATTATGCTGGCATGCTGTTGTCACTTTTTAACACATGAAAGTGACAGTCTGAAAAGGAACAGTATTTGTGTAGGCTCTCTATGAGTGTCAGGACCCTGGTATGTGTGCGTGTGTGTACACACAAGCACATTCTGGCTTGCATACAAATATACATAGAGATACAGGTACAACTGCTTCTCCTTCAGACTGTTAACCTTTTCATGTGGAAAGCAGCAATAGAGGGAGCAAGGTCAGTGCACTCCCCTAGCTGAATGCGAAGGAAGCAGTCTCAGGAATGTTGGTTATGAAGTTACCAATTTTTAATTGTTTATAAACTTGTTTTTTAATCTTAATTTGTGTTTAATTGTGTTTTAAAATCTGGAAACAAGGCTGGATAAATGCAATAAATAATAATACAATGAATTTCCAGTATTGTCAAATATGGGAGAATAACATATTTTTATTGATTGATTGATTGATTGATTGATTGATTGATTGATTGATTCATTCATTCATTCCCCACCCATCTGGCCTATAAGACCATTTATGAGAAGCTGGACAACTTCATTCAAGGCCTTCTGAACTCTTATGCAGAAATATTATAGAATTCAGTCTTGTATAACACAGCAGCAATTTTTGGGTACCAAGTGTTCACAGAACGGCATAACACCAACAGCTTCCTGGAGAACATCAATGGAAACGTTTGCTGGATGACTGGAAAGGAAACCAACATTTTCTTCTCTGGTGCACTCACAGGGTGTTCGGCACCTCCTTTCTCCATAGGACTCCCTGCATCTAGATCAAGCTATATAAGAGAAAGCAATCTTTCCATTCAAGTGTCTGGAACCCTTGGCCCTCCAGAAGTTTTCAACTTAACAGTCCCTTAAGGGTCATGAAATGATTTCCAGGAACTGAAGTCCAAAACCTCTGGAAGGCCAAAGGGCTCCAATTCCTGGAATTAAAATAATGGCTGTTTCTGTGGGCATGGGAAAACACAAGGGGCAGGCTGCAAAGGAGCACAAAGGGTCGTATCCCACAAGCCTGTTTAAATGAGGTTAGATGTAAGGGTTTAGATCAGGGGTTTTAAACTCAATTTTCCTGGCAGAGTCTGGGTGAGGTGGGCCGCATCAGATTTTTCCGCCAAGCAGAGCAAGAGCCTGAGGAAGCCGCCCAGGAGTTTCCTTAGCCGACAGACAGGTGGGCTGACTGGCAGGCTGCAGTTCTGGATGGAGGGTGCAAGAGGTGCTGTCTTGGGAGAGAGCTGGCGAGCGAGGCAAGGCTTTTTTTTACTCTTGACAGCAGAGGATGTGAGGGCGCTTTGTGGGGGTAGGCAAGGCGAGGGCCACAAACTATCATCTGGGGGGCCGCAAATGGCCCCCGGGCCGCATGTTTGAGGCCCCTCGTTTAGATTCATTCTGGGTCACTGCTGTCTCAGATAACAAATGACTGAGGAAGCTCCTGCAAAGCAATTCCATGGAAGCCTCCATCCTCACAAAATCAGAGAATATGGAGGATATGGTAAGGAAAACTGAGGCTCTGATGTTTACTGATAGTGGTGTAAAACTAAATTAGACTTCCTGTGTTCTGTGCTGTGTAACAGGCTCTGGCTAATATCTGTTGCATTTTACACTTTCTCTGCTATTTGAGTTTTGAGAAAAATTATTTTTGCCCCATACTAAACGGGGAGGGGGATTTTTATTTGATTACTGCCATTTCTCTTTCCTCAGGGGATGCCAGAAAGACGTTCTCCTTTCCTCCCACAGCAGGCGGGTCCGATCCCGGACTATTCAGAAGGAAACTCATCCTGACCCCCCCCTCCATGTCATACGAATCGCTTCCAGGTTTCGTAAAGAAGCGAAACCTATCGGGTTTCTTCCTTCACCCCAAGAGACCAGGACACGAACAAAAGACGAAGGATCAGCAACCCAAATCTCACACCTTTGCTGAGAACCGGGAACCAACTCGGCCCAGCATCCGCTACCCAGTACATATTCCACC